TTATTGATGTGATGGAAAATATTATTTTATTGAAGAATGTGTGGTTGAAAATGAAAATTGATTTACTGTAGAATTTGAGAATCCGTACCAAACGGGGCGTAAATCATAATCAATTTTTACAATGAATGTTAATGTAAAGACAAAAAAAATGTATAAGTTTGTGTTTCGTACTATTATATTATATCAAATTTTGCACTTAATCATGAACTTTTTGTACACAATAAAATAATATATAACATTACAATACAAAAATAAATAAATAAATATTTTTTCTTCATTAAATTCAATGTACCTTACCAAATAAATTATTAGCATTTTTAAATTGATAATCTCCACGTCCATTTTGTTTTTTTAGTTTCATTTTTCCTAGTGACTAAAATGTAGTAGTACAAGACCTCTTACATTTTCCATTCATTTATTATTAGATAATGAAATTTCAACAGACACAACATCAATGGCCACAAGTGGTGGATTAATTGCTATTTAATGGAAACAATAAAACTAACTGTGAAAAAAGATTTTCCGTTCAAACAACCAATTCCGTTAGATTTTCCGTTAAAACAAGAATTTCCGTTTCATAGCACTTTTTATATATAGAAGATATAGAGTGGTGGTGGTGGTGGACTGGTGGTGATTGGGGTGGGGGTGGGGGGGTTAGAACCGTAGGGATGGAGGACTTGTTCTGAAAACGAGAAGAATGCATTCTTGATGTCAAGTTATTTGGTGGGTAGCAACTCCATTCAATATCACTCCATCCTTCAAGTGACCCTCATCATTACTATTTTAAAATTTAGCAAAATGTCCATAATAATGCAAAGCTGTTCCTAACCTCCTCAGACCTGAATTCACTTCCAAAAACAGCACAAATTTTGTCTATATTAATACCAATATCCTGCATGGCCTTAACCTCCAATCTTTGGACTTTTCTCAACATCAATATTTGACAGGTAATTAATCTTTAGCAAAAAATGATTTGAACTTGAAAATGAAGAATGTTGATTTGGAATGTTGAAATTATAATTTGTTATAAATTATTCTAGTTTTTAATCCTTAGCAAAAAGTGCATAGGAAATTAATTTAGTTGTTTTATGCTTAATCAAATTGTTAAATTATCGATACATGTTGTTAATGATGTAGCATTATATAGTTGAAGACGATTCAAGAACAACAATTAACATGTAGAAAGTAAAAAGACCATCGACTGATCGAAATTCGTAACAACACTATATCATAAAATAAAATTACGCACCTCAAACTGTTGCAACATCTTTTGATAATCACTATCAGGATACAATGATAGAATTGTTTGTACATCAATCACAAGAGATTTTCAGCACTCTCAATATTACTCATATAATATTTCAAAATAATAATAATAATAATAATAATAATAATAATAATAATAATAATAATAATATTAGAATCACGTTTTTTAGAAATTACATAGCGTATTTTCTAAAGTTAGAATTCAAT